TTTTTTGTTCTTTAAAAAATGTGTACGAATATTTTGTCTGCCTGGGCACTGTGTGCATGCCTGACTCCTATGGAGGTCGGAAGAAGGTGCTAGATCCTTTGGCACTAGGAGTTGCAGACAGTTGTGAGTCACCCTGTGGGTGATGGGACTTGAACCAGGGTCCTCTGGAAGAGCAGCCAGTGCTTTGTTAAATCACTGGGCCACCTCGGCAGCACCCAAGGTTATCTTTCCTTATCGAAAAGTGGAGGGCTAAATCAGGACTCTGGTTGGTTGAGTAGGGAGGATCTACCACATGTGAAGGTGGCTCTAAGGACTTTGGAAGCAGCAGTTCCGTGTTCACTGTAAGCTATAAATGTAAAAACAGATTCCCAAAATGCTACTCAATGGCAGAAGAAATCTTGGCTTGGAAAAAAAAAAAATCTCAGAGCAGCTGTGTTGACAGAGACAGACGGCGCAGTTTAGAGGTGTGGCCGAAGAGGGTTGAAGGATGGAACCGGAAAGTTCTTAAGTGAGAGGTTAACTCAAAGCAGTGGGGGGTGATGAGGGAGCCCTGCCGGCAACAGGAGGAAGCAGTCGCCGATGTGAAGGGATCAGAGGAAGGAACAATTTTCTTCAAGGCCCTGCAAGAGCTGTAGCTGGAGGAGAGACATTTGACAGGACCTGTGACCTTCCACATCAATGGACAGTCCCCTTCCCCTCTCCTTCCTTTTCTTTTCTTTTCTTTTCTTTTCTTTTCTTTTCTTTTCTTTTCTTTTCTTTTCTTTTTTTTTTTTCCTATCATTTCTCCTGCTAACTGAACCCAGCTTGGAAGGCATTAAGATTTAATAGACCTGGTTTACAGAAAACTATACAGCAAGAAGCAAGTGGGTCTGAAAGGGCATATGGAGGAGATCCAGAGAGACAGCTGCCCCTGGCATATTTATTTCCACAGCATTTACCTTACCTTACATATTGCAAAATAAACCCCTCCCTACTAGATACCCAGATTCACAAAACAGCTGTTTTGTGAAACAGTTTGGCTGGTACCTAAAAAGAGAAATTATTTTAATTTAGGAATACAGAACAATCATCCACTGAGGCCAATCAGATAACGCTAACAAAACTGTTATTTATAAAAGTGACAATTGTGTCCAGGCCTGGGCTGCTGTGGAGAGGCCATGTCTGGGTCCGTGGCCCCACGGTTCGAATGGATGGCCATGGTTCAGGTTACCACCGAAGGCAGTGCGGATGCTCGGGGCCTGGGCCAACACCTGAGGTCATGTTGGTGCCCGAGGACCATGCTGCCATTGGGGCCATGCAGATAGGGGTGGCTTGCGCCGACATCTGGGGCCATGATGAAGTCTGGCTTGAGTTGTGGCCTGGGGCCATGTCTGGGTCCGTGGCCCTACCTACTGCAGCCAGGGTCTATGGCTCCTGTTGCCATTAGGGACCACAGAACTGCTCGGGGTCTACTGCCCCTGGGGACCATGTTGGAGAGTCCAGGGACCATGCTGCTTCTGGGCCCATGATGATCTGAGAGGCATATGCTGCCACCCAGGTCCATGGTGACACCTAGGCCCAAGCTGCTATTGATGGCCATGTCTGGGTCCATGGTCCTGCTGCAGCTGGGGTCTGTGTTGATGTCCGTTGACCCTGTTACCACAGCGGGGTGGGCATGCATACCATGTGTTGAACCATGTATTGAACCGTGAGTTGAAGTAGAGGGCTTCGCTGAGCTGGCCCCGCCCTTCACTGGACTGAGGAGAGCTGCCTTTCCCCTCCCTCAACCGGAGAGCTGATCCTGTCCCTTGCTGGCCCTGGAATAAGAGACCCCGATGACCCCAGCGTCATAGAGCTGGCCCCACCGCTGATAGGAGAGCCAGCCCTACACACTTGGGAACGATGGCCTCACCCTTCACCTGAGGGGAGCCAACCAGGAGCCCAGGTTGACCAACTCAGCAACCACCCAACTACACATCCAGGACTTTGAGCTGGCATACCCCAACATGTCCCAGCTATGACCTGCTGGAGTGCATGAAGGGACTGGTCCTGCAGAGCTAAGGCCACATGGTCTACATGACTTGAGGCAACAGCGGGATGTTGGCGGAGTTTCTGTGGGGGTCCAGTGTTGATGGTGTACCGGAGGCCAGAGGCCTTGCACCTCACCAACAACACCTAACACAATGAACATTTGCAAGGAAAGCTGTTTGGATAAAAGGGTCTACTGCATGATACACAGCAGCTCCCAGTGCCGCAAGGACGAATGAAGAGGCCATGGAGAGGCAAAGACAGAGAACAAAGTGTTTGGGTTTTTTCTCTTTTGTTTTGTTTTGTTTGTTTTTAATTGAAATTGATGTTCTTATTTGCATTTTAAAATTATTATTTGCTTTTTTATCTTTATCTTATTTTTTTATTATTTCTTTGTTAATTTTCCTTCTGTGGGGGTTACCAAAAGGATGAGGGGTAGATCTGGAGGGACTGGGGGATGGGTGGGATTGGGGTGCATGATGTGAAATTCCCAAAGTATTAATAAAAAAATAAAAAAATGAAAGTGGCAATTGAAAGTTTCTGTCAATTATACATCACATCAGAGATGCTTTATAGAGCCTGATTTGGCCCACGCAAATGTCACCTCGGGAGATTCTTACTGAGGCATTGGTTGAAAGCAACCTGTGAAGGGCCTATGTGAATTCTGACCGCTAGACATTTGCCGTCCACACGAGGACTCCGAGGTAGAGGAAACAGATTTTTATTTGTTTGTATTTTAATTGCCAGCGATCCAACCCAGGCTTAGCCCTGGCTAAGCAGGTCGGGCACTGAGCCACGCCCCCACCGGGCCACGCCCCGCACGGAGCCACGCCCCCATCTTGGAACAGAGTAATCGGTTTGTAAGCTAAGTCCAAGGGCGGCAGTCCGATCACAGCCATCTATTTTGCCATAGGACCACTTCGTACTCTAGGCAGAGACAGAGGCCTGGGGTGTCCAGTTAAAGCCCCTCCGCGTGGAAAGACGAGGTCTAGGAAAATGGCAGCTCCGACTTAATCGCTGCAAGAGTTTGTAAAACCAGGTAGGGCATAGATTTTAGTTTAGAGCTTGATGTTGATGTTTTTGGGTTGTTGTTAACTTCTGTTTTAAACTCCCATTTGATTACTGCATTTTTAAAAAAATTAAAAAAAATTTGCTATTGTGTTGCCTAGGTAGCATAATACAGCAAACGGTTTTAACTTTAAGGCAATGATGCATGTTTCTGGCAATCTGTAGGGGTCTCCCAAGGTGGACTGATAAATTATTACCTCAGTTTTTGGATTTTCAGTTTATAGTGTGACATTAGTAATGCATGCCAGAATCTTTAGAGCATTTGGATGTGTCTGTTAGTCTTTTCCCAAATCAGGCTATCCTGTTTTATAATCTTGAAGTCTGCATCTCTTTCAGAAATAAAATTATGATAGACTGTGAACTGGGCCAAAGAGATTTCTGGCTATGCTTCCAGTGGGTGTGGGAGCTCTCTCTGAGTAGTTCTTGATCTTACAAGGCTGTGTAGAATTTGTCTGTCACCAGAGTACCTTCCAATTTGGTAGAGATAGCTAACGTCTATCTTAAAATTATTCCTATCTGCAAGAATGTAAAACTGTCTTTAATGCTACCCTGTGGATAGTGACTGGTATTTTCTTGTTTGTCTTTATTTCTGTTGGTTTTAGATCTATTTATAAACTAATTTCACCATTCTTTTCCTGACTACAGAAGTGAAATATTTCGTTTCTGTCTCTAATAATTTTTTAAAGGAATAGATTCAGATTTCAAAAGAAGTTGCAAAAATAGTACAAAGGTATTCCTTGCGCCCCTTACTCAGTTTCTCAGTTGTAGAAAAAATTTAGTATCTCAAGTTACTACATTTGTCACAACTTAAGACTCAGCTCTTTGTGATTTCACTCTATAATTTATTGAGATTTCTATGAGTGATGGAACCATCTTTTACTGGCATATCATCCAGCAGTCCACTTCACAGTCATTAGATTTCTCTAGGTGGTGGCAATCTCAGACCTTTTAATTTTTTTTTAATAAAAAATTATTTTCCATGTATGAGTGTTTTGTACCCTGTGTATACCTGGTCCCTGAGGAGGCCAGAAGATTTTGTCAGATTCCCTGGAACTGGAGTTACAGATGTCTGTGAGCTGTCAAAGTGTGCCATGTGGATGCAGAGTGCTCTTAGCTACTGAACCATCTCTCTCCACCTCCAGACCTTCTTTTTAAATGCATGTTTGCATGTGTGGGTGAACATGTGTGCGGAGGTTTGCAGGTACACGGAGGATGAAGGAATCAGGTATCATCCTCAGAAACACCACTCAACTTCTTTGAGACAAGGAGCTTGTCAATTGGGATAGACTGCTTTAACGGTGAGCTACCGGGACCCTTCTGTCTCTCCATGCTCATTTTTTTTGTTTGTTTGTTTTTGTTTTTGTTTTTTTGTCAAGTTGACACAAGCTTGGGTCATCTGAGAAGAGGGAACCTCAACTGAGAAAACGCCTCCATCCGTTGGCCTGTTGGCAAGTGTCTTCCCTGTTCTGAGTCAGTCTGGTCCCTGGTCCTATAACAGGAGAAAAGGAATATTAAAAACATTGCTCTTAAGAACAGAAGAAGGCAAACAATTTCCAACAGAGGTTACCATGGTTTATCCCGTGGACAAAAATGTCTACAGGGGCTGGAGAGGTAGCTCAGAAGTTAAGAGCGCTTGCTGTTCTTGCAGAGGACCTGGGTTCACTTCCCAGCACCCACATGGCGGCTTGCAACCTTCCATGGCTTCAGTTCCGGGGGACCCAATGCCCTCTTGTGGCCTCTACAGGCCAGGCGCACCCCGTGGTACACAGACATAATGCAGGTAAGCATTCATGTATAAAACAAAAGTAAGTCTTTTTTAAAAAGTACCTGCAGCGAGAAGGTTTGATGATGTTGTTCGTATGCAGGAACGTGGCCTGTTATTTGTTCTTCTACTTTTGCTTGCTCTCTCAATCAGGCTACCTGAGTCCTTTCTGCAGGGTGGTGTTGTAAGCGCCCAATCTGATGGTTTTCTCTCTCTATGCTTTTTATTTCTTAACCTTTGCTTTTGACATACTTAACAAACGCACACGTGCTTGAAACCCAAGGTATGGATATCACAGGTCATTCTCCATGTGGAACGCCTTTCCCCCCACTAGTCCCCTCCTGCTTTCCTTTTCTGATCTTTATGAACCACCGAGTATAATTAGGTCTCCTTTTACAACCACGGATGTAGGGATGTTTACTGGAGCATAGGCAATTTACCAGTGGCTACCTGTGGTGTAATTTACCAATTACACCAGCGAAGGAGTCCTGTTCCCCAACAGTCATTTACTTTAATAGTTTTACAGATATTGACTGTCTTGTGATTTTAGAATTAAACAGGAATCCAGACCAAAAATGTTCCAGAATGCCCTGCACCACCACATGGGCAAGTTATATTATAGCCAGAGGGCAGCCATAGCTCACACTTTTTCCTACTTGAACATGGTTGGCACAGTCGGTCACTTGTCTACATCTTACAAGAGTGGTTTACAGCCTGTTTATACATCAAGCCGGATACACTTTGTTATGTACTAAGGAAAGTTTAAATCCAGACTTAAAGTATGTATAAAGGCATCCTCAACAATCAAATAATGTACTTTGTATTTACCACTCTGAGAAAGTTTATTTACAAAATATTTAATAGGAAATTCTTTTCAAATTGATGACTACCGTGTGTGTGTATATGTGTGTGTGTGTGTGTGTGTGTGTGTGTGTGTGTGTGTGTTTGTACACCTGCCACAACACACACATGGAGGTCAGAGAACAACTTCACAGAGTTGGTTCTCTTTCTGAGTTTATATGGGTTCAGGTTGCCTGGCTTTCACCGCAAACACCCTTACCTACCCAGCTGTGCTGCTATCCTCCGAGGATTATTTTTCAAGGTAGCTGCAGAGGGAGGCGTTGTATCCCCGAGCATACTAGTAGCTGAGGTTGTTACACTTGCCTTAGCATGATGGAACAACAGGAGGGAATCTGAAATCCAGAGGCGGACACTTCCATAGACCTTTCAGCACAAGCGTTGACGTTTCAGGGATAGACCTGACTGAGGCAGTGAGGGAATAAAGAAAAGACAGACATACAGACACTCAGAAAAGCTTAGATTAAGTGGACTAGGCTTTCGGCTGGAGAAACTGCTGCACCCTGGAAGTTCAGTGTGTTTATTGTGCAGGGTTGAGCAGAGAGGCGGGGCTATTGCATACAGCTGGACTAGGAGGCGGGGTTACCGCTTACAGACAAACACGGAGGCAGGGTTATCGCTTACAGACAAACAAGGAGGCAGGGTTATCGCTTACAGACAAACAAGGAGGCAGGGTTATTGCTTACCGACAAACAAGGAGGCGGGACTATTGCATACAGCTGGACAAGGAGGTGGGATTATTGTTTACAGACAAACAAGAAGGCAAGGCTTATGGTGTACATCTGAACAGATAGGCAGGTTTAGCTAATCTTGGTAGGAGAAACCTATGTCGGGGAGCAGTCTTCAGGCTGTACATATCTGCGGCAGGGGAGGACGCTGTGGTGGACATTTTCTTCACACACTATCAGCGTGCACACTTGGACCAGAAGAAGGCTTTGCCATGCCTCTGAGCCTCACCCCTGGGGAGGGGTGTTAGAATGGAAGGCTTTTTTATTTTCCCTTAGATCTGCAGCTATGGTCCTTGCCGTGGCTGTACCCATTCACTCAGAACTTCATTCTTCCAGGGTTTCCTCTGTTCCCCACGAAGCAAAGACAGCTCCAGATGACCCCTCTAGGAGAGAGCAAAGGAAATACTTATTTGACTTATTCTGCATCTTCCCTTTGTTTCCTGCCAGAGCCCTTCTTAAAAAAGCCTACAGAACGTAGAAACCATGGGGACTCTGAGAAGAGCCGTAAGAGGTCAGTCTGTCAGGTGATGGATGCTTGCGTGAGGATGTAGAAGACGGTTAAAATACATCTGGCACACTGACTTTCGTGGTCTTAAAGGCCACAATGGGCATTTTTGTTTGTTTGCTTTGTTATGTTTTTCAAGCCATGGTTTCTCTGTGTAGCCCTGGCTGTCCTGGAACTCACTCTGGAGACCAGTCTGTCCTCAAACTCACTGAGATCCACCTGTTTCTGCATCCTGAGTGCTGGGGTTAAAGGTGTGCGCGACCACCCACTGGCCACAATGCACATTTTTGATTTGTTAGTTTGGGAAGACAGAGATAACTGCTGTTAACACTTGCTTAGCTTCTCCAAGAGTTCAGGGAATTGGGGTCTGACTTAGTGAGTTGTCATGGTCAGATGAGTCAAAATTTGACTTTTCTTCTTGCTTCCTTCATTTTCCAACCACGGGGGTTACGGCAAGACATTCAAGGAGAATGGCTGCTGGAATCGGAGCCTATGGTTCGAGTCCCCTACACGGCCCAGTGAGCCATGACATGAACTGGTGGAGCTGCTGTCTTCAACAGATCATGAAGGCTTGAAGAGTCATCTTAGCGGGGTCCACTGAGAACCCCGAGCTTCAGGGATCTCCTGAATCCTCTGGATTGGGGGAGGGGCAGAGTTTAGAATTACATTTGATTTGACATGTAGAAAAAATAAAATGGGCAATTCAAAAAATTTATTTATTTATTTATTTATTTTATGTGTCTATGTGTGTGTGCCTGAGTGTGTGAGCACCACACATATGCAGGAGCCTGCAGAGATCAGAAGAGGGACGGGGGTCCCCACTGGAGTTACCAATGGTTGCGATCTACCATGTGGGTCCCGGGATCTGAACCTGGATCCTTGCAAGAGCAGCCAGAGTGCTCTTAACCACCGAGCCATCTCTCCAGCCTCTAAGGAACAGTTGTTATCTTTGAGTCTTATAGTACACTTGTGACTTACTGAGTAAGAGAGATTGCAGTAGGGACTTGTTCACCCACGCCTAAATCACAGTGGCATTTGCCTGAGGTGGAACTCGAGAGCAGTCTTATCAGACGCTTGTTTGGCCAGTTTGTAAACGAAGCCAGAGGCTGACGGTAGGAATTTAATGTCACGATCAGGCCGTGTCCTACTCTAAGTGGCGATATGTCGTCGTGTAAACAGCGATTTTCCAGTGTACGCCTTGCCCTGAACGACTCTGTTCTATAAGCAGCTTTGACTCTGTTTTGAAGGTCAGACAGTGATTGCATTACCCGAGCAGGGACGTGAACTTGCACCACTCACGTAGCACAGATTGATAAGTGACTGATTCCCGGGAGTTGAAAGGGAGCCACCATACATTGATTGGCATGAATTGGGACTGTAGAGGCACACCGGCATATTTAAAGTTATATCAGCAAAACTAGGGTGAAGAACCTGTAAGAAACAAAAGACCAGGCAAAGTTTGAAACTCTCTCCCTCGGACTCCATGAAGGGGGACCCCTAATACTGCCATGGCACTGCCCCCCCCCCCCCCCCCCCCCGCAATCTGTCATCTGACCACTTCGTGTATGGATCAGGGGACAGACAGGCAGGAAGCACCGACTGTCCCCGGGGTCTGACAGGGTCTACTCTAATACCCATCTGCCCATCTGCTGTTTCTTCTTCTGGACCTGTTGTCCATCTGTACTATCATGTGTCTGTCTTTCCTTGTCCTGTCCTTGGAGTCCTGAAGCTGGCCTCAGCTCCAGCTCCTGTGTGACCCTGCAGCCCAGAACAGCAGCACTCGGGTCGGAACTCACGCCCCCGCCAGCTGACCCCTCCGCATTGTCCCAGCTTCCGCCTCTCCAGCTTCCTTGCCTTCTCAGCCATTTACAGCTCTTCTGTCTCCCTGTCTCTGTCTCTCACTGTGACGTATGACATATGATATATGATTTGAGAGTAAAAATCAAAAATTCAAACTTTAATAAGGCAACCTCTACCAAACTATTTTTTTTTTTTTTTTTTTTTTTTAGGCCACCAACCAGCTTCCAAATCAAGACATGGAGACCTCTTATTAGTTTTTATTTTTAGCTCTTATTTCTTGCTAGCTCTTATAACTTAAATTATCCTGTTTCTCTTCATCTTCATTTTGCCTCGGGGCTTTTTACCTTTCTTTCCTTCTGTATATCTGGTTTTCACTGCTTCGCCTGTCTGTCTGTCTGTCTGCCTTGGATCTGTCCTTCTCTCCCTCGTTCTCTCCCTACTCATTCTCTCTGCCACCAGCCCCCCCCCCCATCCCCCTCCTGCCTAGCTAGTGACCCTTCAACTCTGTATTGGACCAATCAGGTGCCTTAGGCTGCTAAGGTGAAATAATTGCAACACATCTGTACACAATTAAACAAATGCAGCATAAACAAATATAACAATCCTTACATTGTTAAGCAAATGCAGCATAAGTAAATGTAACACACCTTCACATGGTTAAAGTAATATTCCGCAGCAAAAACAACTATGACCATCTTTGCCTCCTTAAAGTAATAGTCCACAACAGGAACCTGTGTGTACCTAACGGGAAACTGGAATATCTAGGCACAGCACCTGGTGACTTGAGTGTCACTCAGGACATCCCGACACTCTGGGAAGACACAGATCTGTCCATCTGTGTTTCTGACGTAGCACCCTCATTGGACTGAACATGCTTAAATAAGGGCACCCTCAAGATCCCACACGCACAAAATGCCACCCCCAGAGTTAGTTAAGAACTACCTTTATGTGTTTCTCCAATCGCTAGCAAACATTCGTGTCACATGCCGAGCCAGGTGTGGAGACGTTTGAGGAGGGGTCTGCTCTGTTTTTATGAAGCTCAGAATTTCGTGAGGCTCATTGGAAAAACTCATCTCTTTGCAAACTGTCATACTCTTGTCCCCCTGCCTCCCAGTGAGGGGAAGGAGAAGCCATTATGGGGAACTCTTGCTTGGAAAGCTGGGGCTAAACTTGACTGGGATACTGTCCCCTAATTTAGGGAGGACAGACAAGGTGTGCAGCACCCCGAATTTGTCACAGGATGACTTCTCAGGGTCCTGTCTCCTCCGGGGAAAATTCTTTCCTAATCGCAGTGAGTTTTTTCCAAACATCCCCTCCTGTCTCTCACAGCTCCCTTTCGGATGGTCTGTTGCCTTTGGGGCCTGCCAGCTTCGCTCTAGACTTGACCTCCAACTAGAGTTGTGGCTTCTTTTTATTTTAGGCCCCAATAAAAATGTCTAATATTTTAAGTACTGTGTTGAGCCACATTCTGCCGGGTGTGAAGCTGATTAAAGAAACTCCCATCAGCCTGTGAGTGAAACTCACCCTTTTAAAAAGGTGTATTTGCATTTTAATGGCAACCCTTTAGCTCAAATTAATTTCTAATTGGCAGAATGTGTAAATGAGTTTTCGTGAGAGGAGGAGAGGAGTGATTTCCCAATTTTCTGTGTTTAGGAGTTGCTACTCTGAGAGTGTGGTAGTCTCATCTCTCAGTCAGTCCTCAGCACGATGCCATTTACCTGCTTTCTCTGAAGTGATCATGTTGAAAGGCTTTTGAGGTTAAATTCCATGAACATGTTTCAAGCATCTCCTTTAGCCTGTCTCTACATTCTACATGGTGGCTCGCAACTATCTGTAACTCCAGTTCCTGGGGATCTGACACGCTCTCCTGGCTTCCACAGACTCCTGCATGTGTGTGATGGACATACGTGCATGCAGTAAAACATGCTTACACATAAAATGCAAATAAATAAATAAATAAATAAATAAATAAATAAATAAATAAGTAAATAAAAGGTTAAGAATCATATGTGGGCTAAATCAACCTGGGATGATGATAATTTTAGAAGAAATCACTATGTGGTAATGAAGTTGTATAGAAACAAACTTCTCTACAGTTTTTTTTTTTGGAAGGGAATATGGTATAAATTGTAAATGGTTCCTAAAGAAATTAGTCGTGGGACTCCTCATGGGAGACCTTGCCTTGGAGAAGGTGGGAATAGGGGGTAGGTTGGGGAGGAAGGCTGGGGAGCAGGAGGAGGGAGGAGAGGGGAATCTGTGGTTGGTATGTAAAATGAATAGAAAATTTCTTAATGATAAAAATTTAAAAAGTAGAAAAAAAAGAAATTAGACGTAGAATTACCACTGGAGCCTGTAATCCTTTTCTTAAGGTTTGTACCTACAATCAATGAAAACCAAGGCTCAGATACTTGCACATCAATATTTGTAAGTAGCATTTGTTTACAATAGTCAAAAAGATGAGAACAGATTTTTAAAATGTGCATCTATATACAATGGAAAGCACTTCAGACACAGAAGAGAAGGAAGTCTTGAAATGTTTGATAACATAGATGAGCCTTGGAGATGCTATGCTGAGGGAAAGGATCCAGATCCGAAAGGACAAACGTGAGTTGGCTTAGGTGGACTATCTGCCTACAGTGGGGGGTGGGGGGGAGAAGGAAAGAAAACTCACAGGGACAGGAAGCTGCGGGGTGGGGGGAGGGCTGTAGAAGGGAGGGAGATAGGTTAAGTATCAAATATAGAATTTCTCTTTGGAGAGACAAAAAAAAAAATGGCAATAGACGGTGGTAACGGTTTCACAATGTTGTAAATATAATGCCAACGGAATACAAAGTAATTAGTGGAAATGCCAAATTTTATGCTTCATATCTTTTTACCACAAATAAAAAATAATTCAAAACAAAATGAGAAACAAAAACCACACTTCCATCATGGCCAGTTGCTTATTTCCCTGGGACTGCTTTTTTTTTTTTTTTTAATTAAAATTTTAAGTTACATTTTGGTGTGTGCATGTGAGCGTGCGCGTGTGTGCGTGCGTGCGTGCGTGCATGCGTGCGTGCGTGTGTGCGAGCATGTGTGTGTGTGTGTGTGTGTGTGTGTGTGTGTGAAGGTCAGAAGATAATTTGCGGGAGTCGGTTCTCTTCTACCATGTGGGTCCCAGGAATCAAACAGATTTTTAGACTTGGCAGTAAGTCTTTTTACCCGCAGGGTCTCCTTGCCAGTCCATTGGCACTGTTTTAATTTTTACAGATCTAATTAGAACAAACTAGAAGACATTTAACTATAGGATATATAGAATAAGAAAATCAATGGATATAACGCTAGTGGTATAATTGACAGAGCCCATGTTTACTTAAGGATCCAGAACTTATTTTAAACATTTAAATTTTATTATTTCTGTGTCTGGGTGTGTGTCTGTGCATGTGGGTGCCCGTGGAGGCCAGAAGAGGATGATAGATCCCCAGGAGCTGGGGGTTATAGGCAGATGTGAGTGTTGGGAACTGAATTCTAATAGAAGAGCAACCGGAATTCTTAACCACTGCCATCTCTCCAGCCCAAAGGATCCAGAACTTAAATTTCAGTTCCTGAGTTTAGGTTTTGTGCCCTTTCTGTAGAAGAATCATCACTGAATATTGACTTGAACAGAGCAAGAGTAGATTTCTTGAAAACCTTGAAATTCTCCCCGGTGAATAGATAGAGGATGGGAGAAAACACAGAATTGAAAAAGATGGTCACCATGGTAAGTACCAGAGTCAACGGTAAAAGTAGTGACTGGTTCATGGTGAGGACCAAGCCGCTGTATACATGGTAAGGCATCCAACACACAAAGAAAGAAATGACAGCGGTCGTCATGACCTTGAAGGGCTTGCTGGATTTAAAGAGTCCCTTCTCTT